TGCGCTCGGTTGCTCGGATAGCGATCGATATAGTCCCCTTCGCGTTCTCGGAGACGTCGCTCTATTTCTTCTTGCTCAGCTTCGCGTCGAGCAGCCTCAGCTCGAGCAGCTTCTTCTTGCTCGGCTTCAAGTCGCTCTCTTCGTCTTCGCTCAGCTTCGGCTGCCTCGCTTGCAAGCTGGCGCTGGTGCTCCAGTTGGGCTATCCGTTGCTGACGCTCCCGATCTTCTGCTTCTCGAGCCTGGCGTGCCTGAGCCTCTTGTTGTTCACGACGACGTTCGTTCTCAAGCCTAGCCAAGCGTTCGATATCCATGAACTTGCGGGCCTCGTCCTGCTGCCGTTGCAACTCTTGGCGACGCCGTTCGTCTTCCTCACGGCGGCGCTCTTCTTCTTGACGTGCTGTTTCCTCCAAGCGAAGCAGTGTCTGCCGACGGTCTTCCTCGACTCTACGAGCCTCATCCTCTCGCAGTTGCTGTTCTCTTCGAACGCGATCTTCTTCTTCCCGTCGCGCGATTGCTTCTCGTCGCGCCTCCTCATCGCGTAGCTGTTGCTCTCGACGAATACGGTCTTCTTCTTCCCGTCGCGCCTCATCGTCTATTCTTTGTTGTTCTCGACGACGATTGGCTTCTTCGTCTAAGCGGTCTTGCTCCTTACGTCGCTCACGCTGCTCTTTGTCTACTTGCTCTTGCGTTAGATTGAAGCGGACATTGCTATTCGCGGATGGTGGGCGACTAGGAGGGCGATCAGGGTGTTTCAGTGCGGACACTACGGCAGCCCCAGCAGTCGCTGCAAGTCCTGCCATAGCCGCATCCCGCTTCCACGATGAGCTCTGAATAGGCGAAGAGTTCGCTCGACGGAATTGAGGATGCTGAGGGCTTTGAACAATGATGTTTTGAACTTGGGATTGCATGGGGTACGGAGGTGGGTATGGTGCTTGTGAGAAGACTGGTGGGCCTGCAGGGGCAGTGTAGCCAGATTGTGGTGGCGCTTGTGTTGAATAAATCGATCCAGGGACTTGTTGCACTGGCTGAGGGTGCTGGATGGGGACAGGACCAGGGCCTGGGGTGACCGGAGGTTGATTGGTGACGATAGAGCTTGTGCGGCGTGCATCGAACGACGCATTGGGGTCAAGAGGTGCAACAGGGTAAACCGATTGCAGTGTTTGCGCGCTACTAGACTCACTGTCGTGGTGTCCATGAGTAGCTGCAACAGCTGCGCCCGTCAAAGCACCTGCGGCACCAGCTGCGGTAGGTCCAATAAGAGATGTACTGGCGATGTTGTCGTAGAGATTATTGGACGACCTCCTCTTCTTCTTGCCAAAACCCCAACGCCAGCCCCATTTGTTGGTCCCTGAATCGTTGGATCCGATGGAGTCGTTGCTCTTGGTCTTCTTCAGGGCGTAATCACCGTAAACGAGACCGCCGTCACTCGAGGAGTCTGAAGTACCATCATCCGGCAAATCCTCCCACTCGTCGTCTCCGTAACGGGAGCCAGGTCGTGAGGTTTGGCTTGTCTTGCGACCGAGTCGGTTTTCCTTTACAGCAACAACCTCATTGTGGCGTTTACCTTTGCCAGCCTTCGCTGCGGTAATAGCAGCGGCAGTGGCGCCAAGACCGATAAGAGAGGCTTTCAATCGCTCATCCGAGTTCCGTCTCTTAGGTGATGACCGTCCTGATGTTCGTCCTGATGATCGTCGGCGCGTCCTCTTCACATAGCCGGTGCCGAATGCCATCTCAGAGTCGGATGAGGACGACGAGTTGTTGCTGAAATTGAAAAAGCCCTTCTTTTTCTTCTTGAGACTCGTGGTGTTGACTCGCTTCTCTTTTGGAGGGGGTGCAGCGAAGAAACCATTGAAGAAACCACCCTGGGATTCGTGAGTGTCGCCAATCTCGATGACGGAGGCGCCAGATGTTGAGCTTCGAGAAGCTTTCCGTCGAAGTTGATGGGATCTCCTCCTACGGCGCTCATCGTCGCTACTATCTCTCCGGGGGTGTATAACCTGTACCCTCTTAGGCGACCTGGATCGGCTAGAGTGCTTCTTCCTTGTAGCCGCTCCAAGGGCGGCACCTGCGAGACCGGCGCCGATAGCAGTGCCGATCAAGCCAGTCTTGCCACGTCCAGAGTTATTGCTTGAACTGGAGCTCGATCGGGAATGACGGCGAATCTTATAATCCTTACGGTCCTTCTTGTCATTCGTGACGCCCACTGACATGACGGACATGCGATCAGCAGAATTGCTCCGATGACGGATGCCAGAGCTGCCATAGCTGTAACTCTTGCGGTCCCTCGATCGGCTGCGACTGCGGCGTGAGATTCTTGAGCGTCCAGACTTGATGCTATAGGTATCATCAAAGTCGTCGCGGCCGGCAGTTAAAACAGCCTTTCCAGCCTTGGCCAAGCCAATTCCGCCTAGGCCTGCAGCTACCCAGCCTGCGGCACTGCTCTTGGTCTTTCGGCGCTCCTCGCCCGAAGAGATAGAGCCGTAAGACTTCTTCTCCTTGAGCGAGTAACGGGATTGTTTCTCGATGCCACCAGATGGCCGCATGAACTCACTGGATCGTTTTCTGTAATAGTGGTGCTTGCGTGGAGCGTCCAAGACGGATGAGCGAGGATCAAAGCAACCCTTGCAGACTCCGATGTACTCGGTGTATTCCTCCATCTTCTGCACGTCTTCGTAATCCTTCCACCAGTCGACAAACTTGGAAACGGGCCCAGTGTGCTGATGCTGCTGAGCCATGCCGCCAGAGCTGTACGAACTATGTGGAGCACCATTGTGCTGATGCCCATTGGGTCCGTGTGTCGACGTGTAGTGGTGAGAGGTGCTGTGCGAGTGTGTGTTGGTATGGGTGTGGTTGTGGTTGTGAGAATGTGAATTATGTTGATTCAAGCCATAAGCCGCCAATCCTGCAGCGCCAGCAGCGTACAATCCGGCGATACTGCCAGACGAGTGCTTCTCTGGTTTGGCCGGCCGAGGTGGCTTTGGGGGAGGCGCGCCTTCCGCACCGTAGGCGGCGGCTGCAGCGTAGGGTGGGAGGTAGCTGCTGTCGTTGGCAGCGGTATTAGAAGTATTAGGAGCCGAGCCGTACATGTTGTACGTGGACGCGGGAGCCGGGGCAGGCGGGGTGGTATTATTAGTGTAAGAAGAGTAGGATGTAGAAGGACGAACATTCGCTGAGCTGTAGCTTGTAGAGTGTTCATGATTAGATGAGCTGTGGCCCATGGCGTATCCAAGGGCAGCTCCGCCAGCCATAGTAGCAGCTGGACCGAACGTGCTTGGCTTGTCGGGCCTCGACGAAGATGCAGGCCGTGGTGGCTTCGCAGGCATCGGGGCGTCGTCGACGAAAGCACCGGGCATAGATGAGCTCGATGGCCTTGGGGGTTTGGATGAAGGGACACTCGTGCTGGGCCCATAGAAGTCTGCGGCGGCACCTGATCCGGTGTCGGCAACCGGGTTGGGATGCGCAGAGGCAGACATGAGATGGGGGGTATCCTGTCCTATTATGACCGAAGGCGGCTGAGGCCTCACACCTGGCTGCTGATGCACAGACTGGCCCTGGTCGTTGTAAAACTCGGCAGCCGCTCCAAAGGGATGGCCGCCAGGCAGCGCACTCGAGGTGTACTGCGCCGGGTTCTGTCCAGGGAACTGGCTCTGCACGTGATTGTCCAAGTCTTCGGGGTGCGGTGGTGGGTGGTGGCTTCCCACTGGCAGAGCGCCCGACATCATGGGCGCTCCTGCCTGTCCTGGGAACTGCGAGAAGCCGTCGCTGCCAATCTGGCCGCTGAAGCTGCGCTGTGCTTGCTTGGGGCTGTCGACAATGTCGCCCCTGTAGCCAGCGCCACTTTGCGACAAACTTCCTGATCGCACCGAACGCGTCGAACGGCGCTTCTCAAGCTTCTTGTCCTTGCCCTTCTTCCGGTCCTTGTCGTCGCGCAGTGTGGAGCTGGTCGACTCGGCATAGCTGCTGCGGCGATCGTCGCGACGCTTGTCGTCGTCGTAGGGATCGCTGTTAGGATTGTTTGTTGTGGCCCGTGAGCGCGGCATCTCGTCGAAGGCAGTCGTGAATGAGGCAATCGACGATGATGACGGCGCGGTGTCGCGTCTGGAGCTCGGAGGTTTGCGGGCTGTTGACGACGACACGACTGAGCGGGCGTCTGGGTCTCGGTCGCGCTTGGAACGCGTGGAGTCGCTAGTACGGCGGCGGCGACTTTCTTCTTCCTTATTGCTGTTGGAGGCAGCAGAGCTACCAGTCAATCTACTCCACATGATGCTGGGAGGATGCTGCGTGTTGCGCGGGGCGCGCGGGTGCGTTGTTATTACAAAGTAGTGCTGGCAATGGGTCGGGCGCAAATGAGATGAATCTCTTGGTGGGATATGCTGGGTATATCGCTGTAGACAGTCGCAAGTGATAGAGAATCGTTCAAATCGTCATGTCGTGATGATATAGTACAAGTTTCCGATGCAGAATGGCTAGGAAAGTATGCGCGCAATGCCCAAGGACAACCGAAGCAGCCTCTCACGGTACTAATCGCAAAGATTGGTGTGGTGCAACAGCAGCTGAAGTGCTCGGCCTGGGTCGTAAGCCCCAGCAGCCGAGTGAGTTGGCGGCAAGGGTTAGCTCGATCCACACGGGATGGAGGCGAGGCTGGGCCAATAGCTGCCCGATGGCAAACGCTTCTTCTGCGGATCTTTACCGGGGCTTCTTCCGGGGCTGTTCTCTGACGCTCAGAGTGAACATGTTGATCCTGATGGAAGCGAGTGCATCTTGAGAAAATAGACCCCGACTGTACTTCTAACCATCTTGTAGTCATATCCTCAGTATCGCACAGCCTACAAACTTGGCCTGGCAAGCGCGAGACACGCGGAAATTGCCGAAACAGTCAATGTAGTTATCTTGCATGTTCGATGTTGGTTAGGCCGCCGAAAACATTTAAACCCGATTGTGATAGTCCAAACACCACCCAGTCTCATCGACAAGGATTATTTTCAAAAGCAAGGCGCGCGTGTGACATGATGTGCATTTTTGCATTATTCAAGTGTTGTGCGACAAGTCCATGTCTGATCGCGACTGTGCTATGCAGCCTTCTTTAAAGAGCAACTAGTTACACTTCGACAAGTTCTCTTAACGTTCCTGCCCGTCCAATTCAGAATTGTTTCCATCGCCTGAGCTGTCTGAAATGAATTCAGACTCTGTAACCTCGACCAAATACTGAATCAGGAGTTCCCAAGTTTCCTCCTCCTCTGGAAGATGATGTCGACTGTACAAATCGTGTGCGAACATCTCCACTTTCAAGTTCTCCGCTCTTTCACGGCGGTCGGGATTGTTCATAATTTCGAATAAGTCCCGTGCTATAGGTGTAAGCTGTGTCGTACTCACCCCTACATGGAGTAGTATGCCTCGAAGAATCTCTGTGCCCCGCTTGTCGAACAATCGGTCCTTCAAAACAAGATCAAAGCGAGGCTCCGGATTCTCGCAAAGTCCCCATCGTTGCCGGCGTAACTAGGGCCGTCCGCCAGCCATTAACATCTGCCGTATTTGCAGGATCTGCGCGCGATATTCTGGTTGCAACTGGTCAATCTGCTGCTGCGACAGAGCCATGACCTGGGCATATAAGGCTTGTTGGTCCGTAGGAGGTGCTTGTGGTTGCTGTGGAGGCTGCGCATATGGCTGCGGAACAGGAGGTGTAGGCGCAACTTGCGGTGGGTATCCGGGGTAGTTTACAGGTGGTCGCGCAACTTGCGGTGGTGGTTGCTGTACTTGCTGAACAGGTGGAGCCTGCGCAACTGGGGCAGGCGCCGCCGATGTCTCCACAAGCGAGGTCAGGATTTGTGGGTCGACCAGCTGGAGGAGCAGCAGCGACTGGAAAATGGCGTAAGCCAGCTGAGGCGCTTGTCGCAGGAGCTCTGTCGCCTTTGCCGGATCCGTCATTACGAGGCCCTTCATCTGTGAGAGGATGTCGAGGAGCTGGTCTGGAGGGAGTGTAGAGAGCGTGCGCGAAATGGCATCGGGACAGGTGAGGTTGGGCGGTAGCTCGACGCCCGGTGGAAGAGGGCCCAAGGTGCTCGATGGCTGCGCCGGTGCTGGCGCTGCTGGCTGCTGGCCGTTCATGCCCATGGTTGGCTGCGCGTTCTGGTCGCGATTTGACGGCGCATTGTCGCCGGAGCCGCTCTCGTTGGACCAGTCGACCCTCAGCTTCCTTCCCATCAAATCGTAGTCGTTGAGGTTTCGCACCGCGGAGGCTGCGGCATCAGCGTCGGCGAACTCTGCGAAGCCAAAGCCTTTGGGGCGCCCGGTTTCCTTGTCGTACACCAAGCGAAAGTTGAGGACCTGACCGACGCGACCAAGGGTTTCGATGATGAGCTCTTCGGTTCCGCCTGGTGGGAAGTGTTAGCTTTGCGCGTGCGGATGAGAGATGAATAGTCGCGTACCATAAGGAATATTGCCGATGAACACGACCCTGCCCGCTTTATCGTTGGGCGCCATGATTTTTCTTGGTATAATTCCACAACAGGCACTGCGTGTTTGTTGGTGGACAGCAAGGGAATGTAGAAATGTTGTGCGAGGAGGAGAGTGGTTGGAGTGTGCCTTTGAGGCTTCCATGAGGGCATGAGCTTTGGACCATGGCTAGCGCGAAGGGCTTGGCGCGTCATCACCAAGCACGCGACTACGAAGGAACTCGTATTTTCTGAAGTCGTTTCCAAGTACTATAAGCTACCCTGAATTTGTATATAGTATCCTATGCTAGGGACCTAGTAAAAGGACAACAATGCACATTTCTACGGGTTATATCAATATTTAGTGTAGAACTTAATATAAACGTTTTTCATCGTAAACATTCACGACTGAAATACACCTAAGCATGAAAAAGATTGTTCTCACGAAAATTGCACCCTACAATTCAAGATATTGTATAAAAACAGTCCTACAGCTTCGCTGTCGTCGGCGCACAACATTGACCATCCTCACCAATCGTCGCAGTCACACTAGGTTGCTGGTGCTGCTCACTCAGCAAGCTACTCTTGTTAAACGCCTGCTCGCTTGGCGGTACATCCAACGCAGGGTTCTTGTCGAAAAAGTTGACCGGCTTCATGTGAATCTTGATAATCTCACACGGCATCACAGGAAAATCCTCGATCCTGCAGATGGTCAGTATGTATCTCACATGCATTTCGTAAAATTACGACTTACCTAGGAACGTGGTTGATTCCTGCTTGGATGTAGACCACAAAGTCGGTGTCCTTGACGTTCTCGTTCCTCTCCGCCCATGAACGTACACCTGCATACAACCTTAGTATATGTCTCACGTGTATCTCGTACAGTCACAACTTACCAGATCCGCCTCGAGATTGATTGGTGTACAGCCCACCCGCATACAGCTCACCATCTTTGTGCTTGACGACATAGATGTTGTGGTCTGAGAACTCGGCGCGCTTGTAGTTGAATGAGTCCTTGTCTGATAGGATCTTCTGGAATGGTGGCGCTTGTATCTTGTATGCGACTGGCTTTCCATTAATAGGATTTCGCACGTTGGGATTCTGAATCTTGAAGGTACGGTTGTTCTCGTACGCAATGTCATAACCGCCAGACTTCTCCACGACGGTCTCCTGGACGTAGTAGCCAGTACCATGGGGGTTGAAGTCTGAACGCGGCATCGCAAACGCTTCGTCGTATACCAGACGATTGTCGTAGCCGTCGAGCATGGGATCAACACGCAACGAGAATATGTGCTGGTGGTGGACAGCCAACACACCTGGATGCACAACTGTACCAAAGGGCACTTCTACACCCTCGTCGATAGGTTGGGTGCTCAGAATGCCAGTGGCTCTGATCTCATAGTCGATTTCTCCGGCCTGGTTGAAAATGAAGGCCAGGATGTACTCGTAGTTGCTTACGGTGATGATACTCTGTAGTACCAACTCGCGATTTCGGGCAACGACGGCACGGCCTGTGCGATAATTGGTGTGCTTGAAACCGATTCCGGCGTCTTGCTCGTGAACACAGACAACATTGGGCATTTCAACAACATCACCCTTATTATCGGCCTAAATGTTGCGTGCACGAAGTCAGTGTATGTCTCACATGCAGTTCGTACGGGGAGATTCCTTACCAACACTGCGCTTAGATAGTAGATGGAGCCCAGACAGTCGCAGCCCAGCTTGAGGTTGTTCGCCATGATGCCGGCACCAACATCGCCCAAATCAAACGCACTCTTTTTATGAAAGGGGTGCCTCGGGTCCGCATACTGCAAGCGTGAAAATGCGAAGTCAATTTGTGTCTCATATACATTTCATACAGGCACAACTTACTGGAATGTTCATGTCGCTCAAGCTCAATCGGTAAAACAAACTACGGTTATCGTAACGGACGTCGTACAGCACCATGCCTTCGCGCTGGTTGAAGCCAACTCGAAAGTTCCATTTTTGCCATGAAATGACGCTCGATGTGCCTTGCTGTTCGACCTGGAAGCTCGCACCCTCGGGTTGAACGACATTAAGCGGCTTGAGATCGGTTCGCAGCGTCTGGGCCTCGGGTATATACTCGTTGGGCGGTTGTATCTTGTACTTCTCAACTGGTTTGATTGTGTTGTCTGCTCCAGTTGGTAGCAAATCAACCCGGATGACACGCATACTTTCTGTGCTCACAACAGGTGAGATTGGAAGGGGCATTGCGTAGTGGTTGGAGTCGGCCTCTGATGAGTTCATAGGATCCCTCAAGTAGAGGAAGCATTGGTACAGTCGGTCTTCGTCTCCGACACCATCAGAACCGTAGATCCAGGGATCGCTAATCACTACTGTGCCTTTGGGCAACTCGAGCTTGGCTATTTCGGCTTGCACCTTCTCATCTGCCAGAACGAGTTTTTCGATCTCGACAATCTCGTCGCCATCTCCATTGGCGTGGACGAACGGCCCTAGCAAGATATTGGAGTCGACACGCCCTGAGGTCAAGTCTACAACGGCCTCGTGAAACTTGCTCTACCAAACGATCAGCCATATGTCATCTCATCAGAACCTTCAATACATACAGTATTCCGAATGTAGTAGTTAACAAAGGCTTTCCTTGAGATAGATGGAACTGGCTTGCCGCTATGCTCAGCCTCCAAGTACTTTAGTACTTCAGCCTTTGGTGGTTCCTGCAGCGTAACGACTTTGAAGTGCAAATCTGTGTGTGCAGGCCATGAAGCTTTAATGATTGCCGCGGCATTCCGAAGTTCTGATGCCGATAAGGCCGATAGAGGATGCTGCACAGAAACTGACTTCTCGCTCCGCGGGCTGGGGTTGGTGGCGGCTTCTGTGGACATTTTTTGATAGGTATATGCAATGCACGACCAGAAAAAAAGATCTATCAGGAGCACGAGATAGACGGTAGAAAAGGAAGTTCACAAAAAGACTCCGATATGGATGACTTATAGCGTCCTGAGCCCTCAATGCCGTAATGTTACCGAACACAGCAGTTGATGTGATAAGAAGGTGGATCTGCCGTATCGCACATAGTCGCAAGGACTTTCCACATTAGTACTAGACGCCTGCTGAAGGTGAGGCGAGACACAACGGGATCACGTGTTGTACCCCGCTCTGATTATGGAAAGTTGCTCCAAGTAAGCAACGTGGCGAGCTTCCTACGGATCCCCAAGAGCTCTGCAATTCGCGGAGTTGTACATTTTCTTCTACAGCCAATTCCACAAAGTTGTTTTGTGCAGCAATGCTTAGGCACGCCGGAGCCATGTTCCTAGTGGGCTGGTCAAGTCCCCTTCTTGTGTCGCAAGATATTAACAGAAGCAAATCTTCGTATGAAAAAGTTGGCGTCCCGTCCCTTGAGTTTGAGGCATGCACGGCGGTCTCTGAGCTAGGTCGGCAGCTTGGAGGGAGGCGGTATGAATGCCAGCCCTCAATCGCGCAATCTTGCTGTTGCCTCGCAAGACATATCCCGACATTTCCATCACTAAATCGTCTTTGTTGTGGTGGTGCTGGTAGGACTGCGGAAGTCGTAAGCCACGGCGCGTCATCGATGCACGTCGAAAAACGCGTACGCGAGTCAACCCAACTGTCGCGAACAACGTGTATCCACACTAATCGCGAAGAAAGTATGCAACTTCAGCTTGCAGGACCTGCCAGAACAGACTTCATTTGGGAGAGCCTTCTGTCGACACTTCTTGGCTTGTCATTTCGGCAAATGTGTCGTTCGAGACATGGCTACGTCCACTGCATGACTCGGCATGAAACACCTCTTCGCACAAACATCAAATCTTCAGACGCTCATACAAGACTCATATTTTACCGTAGTACTACCGTAGTCCATGTGCGACCGTGAGCCCGGTCAACATCGAGGAACGGTGTTGTTTCCTTTTTTTCCTTCGCACCGCTCGAGTTCCGCCCTAGCTTTGCCATGTTCATCTAACATATTACCCCAGATATTAATCTATCCTAAGCGTCCAGTGTTGTACAGTTCTAGCAAGCGCGCCAATCTTCGCTCTCGACACACCAAACCCACATCCATTTCCACATCCGCCTCTGCCATTCGCCCGGTGTGCACTTTTCACGCATGCATGGCCAATGATTGTCAGTCCTGGATTGCAAATACCATACTCGCGATATTGCCTGGCATACCACCACGCACTCGCCTCGTCGATACCTGTCACAAGGTCGGCTCCAGAAGAAATTCTTATTAACAACCACCGGCAGTGGGTATCCACCCTCCATCTACAACCCGGTTCCTTTGCCGCCTTGCAGTACCCCAGCGTAGCTGTCCTGTGACGTTTATTCATTTCGAGTTCTATGCTTGACCCAATCACGGCTTCGTGTTTACTCTCTTTGGTCATGTCCTGCGTGGTGCAATATAGACGTGGAAGCCATCCGAAGCCTCAGATTTATGAAGAATGGTATTTAAGACTCAGCGACCATCCTCTCGTATTCTCTACCAAGATCACTAGCACTTTCGATTTCATTCGCTTTCGAACTCATCAGTCTCTCACTTAACACCTCGAACATGAAGTGCATCGCGATTGCTACCGCCGTTGCGGCCTTTGCCAACGTTGCGCAAGCCCACTGTAAGTTTCATCGACAAATTTGCACCAGCAGTCCACTGACAAACAAGACATCTTCCAAACTCTTACTGCCAATGGTGCCAAGGGTGCTCTTTTCCAGAACATTCGCCCTGTCCCTAACAACAGCCCTGTTACCGACCTTGCGGATAAGAACTTGAGGTGTAATGCAGGAGGGAACTCAGGTAGCGGCACTACAACCGTCTCGGTGGCTGCTGGCTCCACCGTTTCGTTCACCGCAGACCAGGCGGTCTACCACCAGGGACCTGTCACTTTCTACATGACAAAGGTCGACTCTGCAGCTGCCGCAGACGGATCCAGCGACTGGTTCAAGATCAAGGAGATCGGCCCCACCTTCTCTGGTGGCCAGGCTAGTTGGGACATGAGTGCTACGTACTCTACGACCATTCCTTCGCAGATCCCTGCCGGAGACTACCTGCTCCGCATCGAGCAGCTCGGTATTCACAACCCTGGTAGCCCGCCTCAATTCTACATCTCGTGCGCTCAGGTGAAGGTCACCGGCGGCGGTTCTGGAAAGCCCTCTCCTACCACCAAGATCCCCGGTAAGAAATCCTGCATACAAACTGCTTGTGAGACACTTTCTGACTTCGTACCTCGAACTTTTAGGCCACGTCAAGAGCACCGACTCTGGTTACACTGCGAACATCTACAACAACTTCAAATCCTACGTTGTTCCTGGACCCAAGGTCGCTACATACTAGGTACACTCTGATGGAGACACGCGACAGGTCGGGCGCTAGGATCGCCAGCATTCTGTCGCACTCGCTTTGAAGTCTACATCTGCTTCACCTTATTTCTATGTATATACCTGTTGCATAAATTGCGCATAAACTTCTTTTATTCCTCCAATTTGCTTGCTTCTTCACTTTTGGCTGCTTCACCATGCCACACTTCACCATGAATAGCACATTGTGACTGCAGAATCAAACGCCTTACGAATTAACCCCGGGCCTTGACTGCCACCACATTATCATCATACCCATTACTGCTATTGCTTATCCTGTGAATATTAACGAAGCATAATTGGATGTCAGTAAATGTCGAAATTCTCTGTGATTCTCCCTTGTCGCAAGCCCAACTCTCAAGAACAGTAAGTGGATACCATAGCATCCCCGAGTCCCGTTTGCGCAAAATAGCCTATGCTGACCTTTTGACGTGTTCGCCATTCAAACATAGCTTCGTTCCCATCATAATGCCGCTGCCTTGATGAACACATTCAAATATGGCAATAGTATGTGAACCTCTCGCTGTTCGTAGCATCCGTCACTTCTATCTTCACGCGTCGCTAGGCCCTTGAACGGATACTCAGTAATAAGGTGTACATATAAAAGGCTGCCCAAAAGCCATATGAATCGTCTTCCCAGCTTCGTAGTCACTGTCTTCCCACTTTTGTGCTTACTAGAGTTTTGATTCAAAGTCGTAGCATTTGGCAGCTTGGCTGGCTCACCCTAACGCCAGTTACCAAACCTCGCTGCCTCCTTTGAAGTTCCTCCACACTCACTACATATGGCTGCTGGCCCTCCCTTCGATCAACCTTGGCTTGCGAACGTCGGTAACAACCCCAACATCAACCGCGAACCTCCACCTCCTCCTATCAACGCCGGTCCGGTACCTCAAGCACAACATCCGATTGCAGCTGCAGGAGGAGCTCAAGTTGTCGTAGAACAACAACACGCCCCTGTTTACGGTCCTCCCCTACCCATCGGTATCGGCGCCCCAGCATTCGGTGGTGTCGGCATAGGTGCGTTTCCACCTGTTTTTCCACCCGTCGGCATCATGGACCCATTTATGATGGGCGGCATGATGGGCGGTTACATGGGGCCTGGCGGTGGACCACTCGCTCCCGTCCGCGCAGGCAACTTTCTTCCGGGTGCTCATCACGGTATAGGCTTTGGTATGAATGCCAACGGTGTTCCGTTCCCACCACCACCACCTGGCGCCATCGCCGGGGTTATCCCTCCTTTTGCTCCTGCTACACCGTTATGGGCGGGTGGAGGTCTCGCATTCGGAAACGTACCTGCGGTAGGAGGAGTTGGAGTCGGCGGAATGATGCCTGGTATGATGATGGGCGGTGGCATGATGCCAGGCATGATGGGCCCTGGCGTGGCAGGCTCACAACACTTCCGTCCAGCACCCATGTTCATTGACGGAAACCACGGCCACCCAGCTCAACCTGAACAGCAAGACGTTAGTCAGATTTCCGGTGGTATCCCGCCGGGCGTCATGCTGGTTGAGTCGGCCGAACACACCATCTTCTATCGCATCACAGGCAATATCTGCCCTTGGCTTTCTCCAGGCACACCACTTACTCTAGAGCCGCTTGCTGCAGCAAGCACTACGGGTCTCAATCGTCTCATTCAGATCTGCAATGATGGTACACCAGCTGATGAGTTGGAGAACTGCGCGGTTACTGAGTGTATCGAGTTAGCCAATGGATTATGGGAAAAGGGTCAGACGTTCAAGTACAACGATGCTGTCTCTAGGGTATTGACTTTGAAAGATGCTGGATGGGACAATACAAGGAATAGGGGGAACGGCAATTCTCTTCATCTTTGGGGTCACCGTATCTAAGTGCTGGATTGCATATCAAATACTGAATAGGTTTTTCTCCATCCTAGGGCTCACGATTTGTACCTTGATGACGGACGTTGGAGTTGGTCAAGTGAGCTAAATCGAGCTCTGGACTTCGTCCACAATGGGGTTGGAGAGGCTTACTTCCATGTGCTCGTTTCTAGTGAAGGACAAGCGTGAAAGGTGCGTTGGATATACTGTTAGATTCACAGGTACCAAGCTTCGGAGATCTAGACTACTTCTCGTGATGCGTGAGAACGTGCCAACTATTATGTTTGAGGTACCTCGGTCGTCTGTCTCTTTTTCCCACCACCCAACTTCCGCCATAACTTCCCAAGCCAGCGTTCCTTGACTACCTTGAGCACAACATACGCCAGGAATCGATATACGATAGCGCATATACCCAAAGCCATAAGGTTCATCTCCGGGTTCTTATTCAGTTTATACAAGTCAAGCACTTGCTCTCCAGTCTGAATGGGGCATTCTCCGTTGACCCTCTGCCAGTCTTCACACGTGAATGTGAGCCCACGAAGCGTATACGGCGCCATATTCCCGACCGCCCACTTCACAGGTGAAAGATGGTTCCAAGCTTGCAGGAAATCCGGAACGTCGAGTGACAACACACCACCCATAACCTGAGCAACACTGAGAAAGACCGACATACAGTTCACCGAGAAGCCGGTGTGTGTAAACAGCGTGTTGAAAGCTATTCCAAGACTCTCGCCACAGCTGGTGATGCAGAAGGCGTTGAAGGTTATGATGAAATACGTTTGCGCATTGCGTTCTAAGCCAACGGCGAAAACGGCGAGCACCG